AGAAGGTTGGAGACGACACCCTTACTGAGAACGAGAAACACATTGACCTTGACGTCGAAAAAGACAACTACAACGAAGAGACTCGTGATAAGAATCACGTAGAAAATGATGTCGACCAGGAAGGCGGCGTACCGAAGAAATCGGACTGGAGCGAGTATTATAACGAGGACGACCTCCAGGTATGGAAAGATAGATGCCTGCGGAAGGACGACGAGATGAAGAGAATGGCGAACAAATTGGTGGACCTGCAAACGGTCATCAATTTCATGATGCAGAACAACGTCATGCAGTCATCGTTCCCTTTACAAGATACGCCGATTCCAGTGGCCAAGAAAGATGCCCAGAAAGGGGTGCAGAACACAATTCCTGCAGTCTCTCAGCACGACAGGGCAAAGGGGCATTCTTACCGCCCTTCACGAGAGGTTGGGCATGGAGAATCAAGGAGGGGAGAATCCCAGAAGACACGTCGAACCAAAGAAGACTGCACCAAAGAACATCGAGATGTTCAAGGAAAGGAACTCTGTTTCGACACGACTAGTGGAGGGTCCAAAATGACTCACAATGACACTGGAAGTAGTGCACCAAAGAGGCTGAAATCCAGAGATAGCCGAGCTCCTAGACAAACCAAGGAGGATCTGAGGGATTACCTCCAAAGAAAGCGACAAGATGCCAATGTGACCTCTCTGGTCAAGCCAAGAACGTCGTTCTCGGTAGAGTTGGACAAATTTGAGGCCCCGAAAAGGTTTCACATGCCGAGGTTCCAGATATACGACGATAAGTCAGACCCAAACTTTCACGTTGGCTTGTACCTGAACTCGATGGCATTATATACCGGGAATAATCCGTTGCTCTGCAAGGTGTTCCCCTCGTCCTTTGGAGAAATCGCATCGGACTGGTTTCACAAGTTACCAAAAAGAACTGTGAAAACCTGGGAGGGCCTGGCCGAGATGTTCTTGGCCAGGTTTGTGACAAACAAACTACAACCATTAAAGGTGGACTCCCTGATGGCCCTGAAAATCAGTGAGGATGAAAGCCTTAGGGCTTATGCCAATAGGTATTACGAGGTGTTCAACCGAATACCAGGATGCAACCAAGAGGTGGCGGTCGTGCCCTTTAAGAACGGCCTGAAAGATGACTGTCTGCTTCGAAAATCACTGGCAAAGACACTACCAAACAGTATGGAGGAACTCATGGCCAGAATTAAGAAGTATGCAAAGGCCGAGGAAGACAAGCGGGGACAGAGGGTTGGAGAATGATGCTTGGGAGTTGGAATTTACAAGCTAAGGTTGGTTTAACACTTGTTGAAATTTTAAAAATTTACAAGTTGAAGTTAAAAATTTTAAAAATTTACAAGTTGAAGTTAAACCGAGGTCATGTTTAACACTTGTTGAAATTTTAAAAATTTACAAGTTGAAGTTAAATCGATGACATGTTTAACATATATTGAAATTTTAAAAATTTACAAGTTGAAGTTAAACCGAGGTCATGCTTAACACTTGTTGAAATTTTAAAAATTTACAAGTTGAAGTTAAACTGAGGTAAATTTACAAGTTGAAGTTAAACCGAGGTCATGTTTAACACTTGTTAAAATTTTAAACATTTACAAGTTGAAGTTAAACCGATGTCATGTTTAACACTTGTTGAAATTTTAAGAAAAATTAACAAGCTGAAGTAAAACCGGAGTCATGATTAAAGGAATGAATGATATAGGTTCCATCACCTCAGGATGCCGAGGTAATAGAACCTAAGGGGCAGTTGTGGGGATATAATTTTTAGATGACAACATGTGGCCGAGGTGTCACCGAAGTGCCAGCCGAGGTGTCACCGAAGTGCCAGCCGAGGTGCCACGTGTCCTGGTCATGACACCGAGATCATCTCGGCTAAGCCAAGGTTATCTGCGAAGAAACCGGAATCCGGGATAAGCGGATAAGAGATAAGAGTCCTAGAATGAGAGAGGACTCCAATTTGGGTAAAGATAAGACTCTCAGAGAGTTTATCCCAATCTTACTGGGAGTCCAAGATTAACAGTAATCTTAAGTTCATTGAAGTTAGGCTTCTATTGGGATTAGGTAAGTGTTGGCTATAAAAGAGAGGCACTCCCATGAGTCTAAGGTATGCTTTTTACGCTCTGAATAGTGAGTTAAGCACTTTTACTATCTTTGAGACATAGCTGACTTAATCGTCGGAGTGCCTCCGGGTGGACGAACCACCGTCGGAATCTCTTCTTTTTGTGACAGGTCGTTCGGGCTTAATTTATTCTGTCAGTGTTTTTCACCTGAGTGCTTGATTGGCGATGTAGTCGGAAATTGACACAGACAACAATTATAATTATTAATGCTATTTGAGATGACGCTTATTTGCTATCGTCGTTTGGGCATTTTGTGCCTGTTTGGTACAGCTTAAAAGCTGCTTATTTCTGCTTAATTTAAGCTATTTTGATGTGTTTGGTTTAGCTTAACAATGTAACTTATAGCTTTTTGTAAGTCAGAAATCAGTTTATTTTTTGAGTGTGGTAGAAGATGCTTAATTTATAAGTCAAAAATCAGCTTATGTTCATAATTATAAAGTATAAACTGTTAAGACATAAGTTATAAGTACTTTCCCACAACTCTACTAAATAGGGTCTTTGTGCATAAGCCTTTGCAAAGAAGTGCTATTTCCGTAGCTTTCGCATCCCTCACACTGAGCGCACGGAACAAGAGTGCTCACGGTTTGGCCCGCATGGCAGGGTGTGCTGTTGGATCATCTGTTTGGTTTGAAAGTGTCTAATCTGCTTTGGTGTCTTGTGTGCTTGATGAAGCTTTATAGTTTGGCTTTCAATTTAGGCAATCAAAAATAACTAAATAAATAAATAAATAACAAAGGATAATTTTTTTATTTTGTATTTTTTTAATGTAAAATTGAATGTTCAGCCTGTTTAACATTATTGTTGTTCGAACTTTTAAATCCGAACAAAGTCAACATGTTCGGATTTGAAAATCCGAATAAAATAATATTGTTCAGCATTGTAAATCCAAATATGATGACTTGTTCTTATTTAGGTATATCTTAAAGAGTAATTTGAGAAAAATTATAGGGTATATTATAAAACTCTAAATATTTAAATAGAGGCGCTGTTTGGGGAGAGTGAGTTAAGGCTATTATAGCCTAAAATGCAAAATAAGCCCAAAAGTCAATACCGTTCACAGTTTTTTTAAAAAAATAAAATAAATAAAATAAAATAGGCCGCAGCCGGACAGTGTTACAGCCGAAAATTGTTACATCAAGGGTTAAATTACCATTTTGCCCCTTTACATCCAATTAAAAAAATATAATTTAGAGATAAATTTGTCATTTTAAATTCAAACATCATTTCAACACACTTTTCAATACAACAACTCAACTAAAAATTCATCTCATCTTCCCAAACACAAAAACTAAAATAGCCTATTAAAATAGTCAAAAAATCAAATAGCCTACTAAAATAGCCACTTCCCAAATGAGACCAGAATGTATTGAAAAATTGAGAGTACGTAATGATTTTTTTGGTGTAGATAGAATCCCCCAACAGTCACTATAAACAAATCACCAAACTCAACGATCACATAATACAATACAATCAGTAGGCCAAACCAAACAATTAGTACATTAAGCCCTAAAATAATACTAATATTCAAAACCAAAAAAAAAAGCTTAGAGAGGTTATTAATTTTTTTTTGTAAAATAAAAATTATAGAGGGCAAACCTGAAAATATATATATATATATATATATATAATTAGTACATTAAGCCCTGAAATTTTGCAGAACTGAACACCTGCAACTTAAGGCTTTAAGGAGAACTGTTGCAAACCCTGTTGAGATAACGTGGGTGTTTGGGAAATGGCTATCTTAGACCCTTTTTAATTTTTTGATAATTTTAGTAGGTTATTTTAATTTTTGTGTTTGGAAAAGTGGGATGGATTTTTATTTGAGTTGTTGTATTGAAAAATGTGTTGAAATGATGTTTGGAGTTAAAATGACAAATTTATCCCTAACTTCACATTTTTCAAAATTGATATAAAAGGGCAAAATTGTCATTGACCAATAATGGGACAACTTGTCAATGTGACAGCCCAAGATTTCAGCTTTTTCTTTTTTTTTTCTTTTCTTTTTTTTAATATAAAGTGTTGATTTAGAGACTTTTTGACTTTTTTTTAGTTTGAGGCTATTTTAACCTCAAACTCAACTTCCCAAACACCCCATTGGTTGTCAATGATGCACCCAAAGTCTGGAAAATGCAAGTTTTACTTGAATGTGTTATTGGTGATGATTCCACCAAATGGAAGGAACATATCAGCTTTGCCAAGAAAAGAAAACTTGAAGTTGATCATGTTTTTGTGAACCAAAGGAATTGATTGAAATATATTAACCTGATTTTTTTTTCCCTTTTTTCTTTTTTGTTTGTTTTTGTTGAAATATATGCTTGTAAGTTTTATTTACCGTCTACAAAGTTGTGGACCGTTTTTGTTGAAATATATGCTTGTAAGTTGTATTTACCGTCTACAAAGTTGTGGACCACAAAGAACTTTCTTTGTGTTGTATAAACTAAGCAATATTTCTTTCCCATGTATCGGGGGTAAAAAAAATAAATAATATAAAAAAAAAATTAAAAAAAAACTACAACAATATAATGAATAATATTAGTAATTTATATGTAAGTTGGTTGCCTCTAATTTTTTTTCTTGCCCAATCCTTGACCTTGGTTTTTAGACAAAAATGTATGAGAATTCTAAAATAAGAGCTCTAAAGGAACTCTAAGAGGTAAAATTCATCTATTGATGTGATATTTTGATCTTTTTTTTCTGCCACATCATTAGAGTTCCAAAATTAGAACTATGTACCATTGCTCATTTTTAAATTGAAGCACCACTTCTTTTTTTTCTTTTTTTTTTTTGCACACGTTTGGATCATATCAAGAAAGAAAAATATATCAAACAGAACCAGTTAGTTGTGTTGATCCAGCAACCCTGACAAAATATATCAATTCAACCAAGTTCTACTTCTCCATTACAATTTCATCAACACACTTGTAATACCAAGGGCCTGACACAGTTGGAATTCCAAAGTGAGACAAAGTCACAAGATTCATGTGGACATTTGTGTTAATCACATGCCATATAGAACTTGACATACATAACTATAATTTATCTTATTCACAAAAAATTTCTAGAACCTAATTAACCTAAAAGAGTTGCAAATTTAAATATGTTTTTCCATAAATAAATAAAAAAATTAAATTGGATGATAAAGTTGATAGCATCACAAAAAAGTTCATAGCATCAATAGCCCCTCAACAAGCACAAAGTTCCCACTACTCTTTCACAGCATCAACAGCAATCTTGCACCTAAATGGTTGATTTGTCTCCAAGGTGTTCAGAATTTGAAGCTGTGTTGCAATTCTCAACAATGTTTACATCAAACCTGTGACAAATAAAGATAAAATAAAACAAGGTGAGAGAGAATTGAGTTTTTAAATTATGTTTTACAGGTTCAGTTGATCTCGGCATGTATGTTGACAAGATGCAGAGAATTTTCAATTTCTTTCAAGCATGAAGTGAAGTTCAAAATAAAAGTTCAAAAGCAATTAAACATTATTTTTTTAGTTTTTATTTTATATCCAGAGAAAAAAAAAAAAAAAAATAATTCTGTCATTGTTTAAAGAAAATTCCAATGAAACATTTCACCACACTCTTGCAATGCAAAATGAGAATCGAAGTCATTCAATTCAGAATCTCCAAACAACAACCCACACAAATAATACTAAAAGCATTCCACACCAATAACAAACATCTGAAAGTCCATGAGCAGTTTAAAACCAATCCACAACAATAATCTCCAACTTCTAATCAGCAGCTCCCAAAAAGCAAACTCACACCCCCCACATTTGTCAAATTTCCTTAGATGAGATCCTAATTTGATGTAAATTAGATACAAACACCTGAATTGAAATGAACCCCCCCTCATTACTCTTAACCCAAAAAACCACTCAACTGTTTCCAATTCATTGTTACAAAAAATAACACAGGTTGCTCATACAAATCAAGCAGCCATAGAAATTTCAGATGGGTTTATGAGCAAAACTCAGATGGGTTTAATTACAAATAAAGCAACTAAATCAAGAATGGAGAGCAACAATGGAGAAAGAGCAACAGAAACTCAAGCGTTCAATTCAAGATGGCAAAGGGCAGGGTCAACATAAACTCAGATTCCCAGCTTAAGATGAAGATGAGCCACTCAACAATTTTTAGACACCAAGGAAGGAAGCTTAATTCCCATTTGGGCTTGAACCCATTAACTACTTTTGATTTGCAAGAGATGATTGGAGGGTTTTGGGAGCTATCGAGTGTGGAAAAATCAACAAAAAAAAAATCAGGTTTCAACAAAAAAAAAAATTAAAAATCAGAGCTTACCTCACCGCCAGAGGGAGAAATGCTGGTGAGGGTGAGAGGATCAGAGAAATGCCGGAGAGCAAGGAGAGGAGAGGAGAGGTGGCCCGTTTGTCAGTGGTGATGGTCAGTGGTTTGTTGAAGAGAGCAGAGGTAGTGTGTGGTGGTCATTAGTGAGAGTGCTTGCTAAATGAGGCCATTTGAGAGAGAGAGAGAGACTGTTTGGAGCGTGAAACACACGCACCTTTTGGGGCAACTGGTTGCCCTTTTTTCCAACCTCAACCACGTCAATCGGGGGAGTCAGGGGGGCTATTTTTGTGTGGATGTAGCAGCATTGAAATAATAATATATATTGTTTGATATTTAAACAAGTTGTGATTATATTGTGAATGATAACAAAGTTCATAAAAACCATGGTTCCAAACCATGTTTTCGTGGTTCGATTTGGTTTGGTTTCGAGAGTTTCATGATTCGGTTTTCTTTCAAATTTTATGAAACCGTAAGTAGTGGTTTGATCTTGGTTTATTTCAAAACCAAACCGAACCATACTCACCCCTAGTTTGGATCATGGATTTGGATAGAGATTTGAAGGGAAAAAAAATGAAAAGGGTGGGTGAAATGTAACTATATTTTATTCGCACAGCCTAAATTACATTATTGTCTTGCATCTTAAGTACACACTAAGTGCCATTGGAATTAAAAATATCTCCTACAGATGGTAATTAATTAAAGAACAGCTACATTCTTATTATCACGTTCATGAAAATCTGTAACAGTGGTATAACTAGCAAGAGTGAAATTTAACATTGTTAGCTTACCAGCTTGCCAAGCATTCCATTCAATCCTAGCTCTTTCCACCCAATGACCCACCAGAGCAAATACAAAAACAAAGATCGATAAATCCAAAAAATGATTCGACAAACAAAATAAGTAATGGGGGAGCTAAAAACGTACAGGTAGTGAGTTGTTCTCTCAGCAATGCAATCCAGCTTCGCCATTTCCAAAACAACACATCTTTTGGTCTCCCACAACCACCACTACTACTACCTCTAAATGGGTTTGCTATTACTTCTTGAGTGGATTCATTCTATCCCTGAGATAGTAAAGCTTGGCCCTCCTCACTCTCTTCTTGTCCAGGACCTTTATCTCCTTTATGTTAGGTGAGTACCTGTCATCACCCACTCATTTAGCAAAACATGTGAAGCAATAATCCAATAAACAGATGATGTGGAAAGATAACAACAGTACTAACATGTAATGCAAAGCCACATATCACACAATAATACAAATATATTATATGATCCACCTCAACTGCTAGTTAAGGCAATTTAAACTTTTGAGATGACCAACCAGAACAACTCAAGTCTAGTCTACAAAATTTAGGACTTGGCCAATATGATTTCAAATTTCGTTAGGTATTAGGATAAAATTTGCTAATCCAAATTTAAAATCTGTTAAGACTTGGGACTCTTTTAGAACCATGATCGCTTATAGATGGAATGTAGAAATAAATTTGGTAACATCTCTAAGGAAATGTAACTATTTGTTCTAACAAATTTCATAGAATACCAAACAAGGGAGGAGAAATTATAAATCTAACTATTTGTGGCATTCAATCATCTTGGAAATCTGCAAGAGAAACAAAACAGAACATATTACAAATCAGCAATCCGGTCTCAACTTTATGAATCACCTTACAATCCATCAAGATTTGATACAATTTAATGACCAGCTCTCACAGCCTGACACCTACACTGAAGGAACTGATTCCAAATCCCTGGTAGTAGGTGGCACGAGAAGAACCTTTTCATGTACCTTGGCTGATACCAAATGATAGGCTGCTACCTCACTGTTTTGCAGTTTAAACCCTTGGAAACTAAAGATTAACCCTGCCAGCTCAGATACATTATGACAGAGCATGTGGAATACCAGAACTCTAATATGTAGGCAGCAAAGTAGGACTCGGATATCAACTTCATGAGTACCCACACCAGACTATTCTCTATCATGGGCCCACATATAAATGAAAAGGAAGGTTGTCTTAAGAAAATGAACAAGAAACAAGCAATTTCAACTTGTAGAATGAAGCAAAATAGCATCCCTATGTTACGTAATGTTAACTTAGTGCTCTCTTCAATCATTAACATCTGTGGCATTTTAAAATTGAAAAAGTTGTTAAGGTTAAGCATTGCACTTCTTTGGCCAAGGTTCATATCCTTGGAGCACCAATATTGCAAATCATTTTAGTGAATTTGATGACAGTATGAGAAGATTTTAATGAGTGGGGGAAGAGACGCACCTCGTAGGAGGATTCTTTTTTTAGGAGGTCGTTCTTTTGAGCTTGAGGAGGGGGAAGATCCGATTGGGCGACGGCGATTGGCGATTGGCGATTGGGGAGCGAGGGCAGGGCCTTCGAAGATCGATTGTTCTCTGCGGTTATGAGGTTGGTTGGTGTTGTCAGAAACTTCGCAGGGCCTCACGGGAACCTGGTCGTTTGGCTTATTTGGGCCGACTGATTGGGGGACGTCGGAACCTGGCCGTGTGGATTCGAGGAGAAGAGGATGGCAAATCTTCGTTTCAGATGGTGGCCACGACTGCTGGCAGAAGAGAACAGATTTTCGTGCCAGAATCTGATTTTGGTGGTGGTTGGGAGGGAGTTGCATTGGTCTTGGAGGGTTTTGCCTTTGGGGATGGATGGGCCCAAACGAAGAACAGCCAACCTAGGGTGGAGGTAGTAGGAAGGCCACCGTAGGTGATTGCGCTAGTACATCGGGATGCGGATGTGGGGGATGTGGTGGTTCAGGTAGGTTCTGAAGGGGGGTGGTTTCGGAAGTTGGATAGAACGGTAGTGGGGAGGGTAGGGGTTTTGGGGAAAAAAGGTTTGGATACGTTGGTGGTCGCAAATTGGGTGCTTCGATAGTGGAAATCGTCGGGGGAAGTGGAGGTTTATGGAATTGAAGGGCAATTTTACCTCTTTGTCTTCAGATCACGGCGCGAGGCTGAGAGTGTGATACGTCGGCGGTGGACGATAGCTGGGCGTGATATGGTTCTTAGCTGGTGGTCGGCGGATTCGCTGTGTGCGGATGGCGGGGCACCAGTTTCGGTATCTAATAACTGGGTACAGATTTTGGGCCTTCCAATCCACCTTCGAAGTCCTGAGTTGTTTCGCGAGATTGGCAACAGATGTGGTGGTTTTGTGGCAATCGATGAGTCGGTGGAGATGCTGGGGTGTGTTCGGTTGCAGGTGCGTGGCCAGGCCAGTGGGTATCCGTCGCAGATTTCGATCCAATGGGGTTCACGGCGTTATACGTTGCCTATCTGGTCGGAAACTGGGCCAGTGGTGGTTGCTGCGCCGGCGTTAGATGGTTCTACGGTTACGGATCGGCCGGTTTTGGAAGGCGTGAATCATGGACGGAATGCGTGGCAAGGATTTCGGAGGACAGCTCAATTGCAGAGATTGGGGGAGCGGAGGGGATCACGTTTGAATCCTCAGAGACTTGGGAAATTTAGGGTTGTGGGTCAATGGAGGCCTGGGCCCACGGGATTTGGGAAATCTAGGGCCAGGGGTCAATGGAGGCAGCCACAGGCTCAACAGGAGATGGGTCATCAACAATTGGGCCATTTAGACCGGCAGACTTTTAATCAAGCCCAATCTGAGGCCTTTACCCAGGGTGAGGCTATTGGGCTTCATGGTATGTTCAATGGGTGTGGCTTGGGTGAGTCTTCTGTGGACCGTGTTTTTGACCTTGGTTTGGGCCCATCTTCTAAGAAACCACCTGGGCAGCTTACGGGTCAAGTAGAGGATCCACCGGTGGCACGGGTTTTTGAGTTACTCCATCAGAGTGTGGGTTCGCCTTCATCCGAGGGGTCCTCACTGGTGAGGAAGGACCGACAGCAGTCGCCGATGGGTTCCCCACCGTTGGCGACTGGGCCTTCATAGCGTCAGCCCGAGTTCAATTCAAAAGAGGGCGGGGATGAGGCGCGACCATATGTTGAACCTAGTCAGATGCTGGTTCTGAGGTCTGAAGGTTGCAAACAGGAAGGCGCCGGTTTGGGCTGTCACGTCGACCTTAGTAAGGGGTTGGAAGGTGATTTACAAGGCAATCCCTAGACTAATCACAGTGAGAGTTTGCCTTTGGTTCTTCACCCATTGGCGATGGAGACGGTGGACTCTACGACTGTCGGGGTTGGAACCGCCACCGAGAATTTTGCAGGTGATGCAATTCCTGATCCAAATCAAGTGTCTGCTTGGGTGTTGTCCCAAATTCAAGAGATTAGCTCTTTGCTTGGGGTTTCATTTGTTGGGCATGAGACTGAAGCCATGAGGCTGTTTTCTGCCATTGAGGCATCATGGAGTGGGAGTGATCCAGGTGGGAAACAGTTGCAGGTGGTTGGGCATCAAGGAAAGGGTGCTCGAGAGTTGCGCAATTTGCAGTGTACTATTAATTATGATAGAAGGCCACCAGAAGGTGGTAGGGTTGTTAGGAAGAAAAGGGTTAACCAGCCATTATTGCCATGCGGTTGAAAATTTTGACTTGGAATGTGTGTAGTCTTAATGATAAAAGGAAAAGGGTGATGGTCAGGGCGATTTTGAGGAAGGCGAAAGCGGATGTTGTTTGTTTTCAGGAGACCAAAATGGATTACATAGACCAGGCGGTGGTTATGGAGGTGTGGGGGGGGCGGTATATAGATTGGTCATACTTGCCGTCTGTTGGAGTGGCGGGGGGGATTTTAGTGTGTTGGGATCGAAGAATGGTTGAAAAAGAGGAGGAGGTGGGTAGTTTTTCTCTATCATGTTTGTTTCGCTGTATTGGAGATGATTTCCGTTGGGTGTTCACGGGAGTTTATGGGCCGGTGAGGGGGGCAGAGCGGCCTTTATTTTTGGACGAAATACAGAATATTGCTTTCGGTGGTCAGCGCCATGGTGTGTAGGGGGGGATTTTAATATGGTGCGTTGTTCGGAGGAGAAGTTGGGTTTGCGCCCAGCAGTGGGTGCTATGCGGGATTTTTCTTCGTTGATTGATGATCTGGAGTTGATTGATCTCCCGATGCAGGGAGGTAGCTTCACTTGGTCGGGTGATTAGGTATTTTCACGTATTGACCGGTTTTTGATTTCAGGAGATTGGGAGGAGCATTTCTCCCGAGTGGTTCAGCAAAGATTGGAGCGTCCTGTCTCGGATCATTGGCCAGTACTGTTGGATAGTGGTGGGATTCGGAGTGGACCGGTGCCATTTAGATTTGAAAATATGTGGGCCCAATTTGCAGGTTTTGTGGATATAGTTCGGTCGTGGTGGGAAGGCTATGATGTCATGGGAGATCCTAGTTATAGATTGGCTCAAAAATTAAAACTTTTAAAGGCCGACTTACGAAGGTGGAATAAGGAGGTGTTTGGCCAGTTAGAGACTCAAAAGGCTAATCTTTTGGTTGTCTTGCAAAAGTTAGATGCAAAGGAAGTGGCGGGTAGCTTGACTGTTGAGGAGTTGGCGGTCCGTGAGGAGGTGAGACAGGAGTATGGTCAGGTGGCTCATATGGAGGAGATTAGTTACCGCCAGCGGTCGCGATGTTTGTGGTTGAAAGATGGGGATTGGAATACAAAATATTTTCACCATATGGTGAATGCTCATCGTCGGGTTAATCAAGTTGGAAAGTTGTGGGTTAATAGGGTGTTGTTGTCGTCAGAGGAGGAGGTGAGAGAGGGCATAGTGGGCTTTTACCAGCATTTGTTTCGGGGGGAGGTTGGGACTTGGAGGCCAAGTTTGGATGGTGTTCAGTTTGATGCTCTTTCAGAGGCGGACAGACAGATGCTGGAACGGCCTTTTTCAGAGGAGGAGGTTTTCGAGGCTCTTCAAAAAATGTCTGGGGATAAGGCGCCAAGCCCGGATGGTTTTACTATGCTTTTCTTCCAGCAGTGTTGGGAAGTGGTCAAGACAGATGTCTTGGCTTTGTTTACTCAGTTTTATCAATCCGGGCAGTTTGAAAGGAGTCTTAATACAACTTTTGTAGCATTAATTCCTAAGAAGGGTGGGGCGGCGGATATAAAAAATTTCCGACCCATTAGCCTGTTGGGGAGTGTGTACAAGCTTCTGGCGAAAGTTTTGGCTAACAAGTTGTGCGGTGTCTTGGAGGGGCTGGTGTCTGAGTCCCAGAATGCCTTTGTGGGGGGACGTT